TCTAGTTCTCACTTAGCATGGGTTGTGTCGGACCTCTGCAGAGAGGCCACGTCCCAGTTTAAATCAGCTAAATAGGTCCCAGGTGCAACAAAAGGTGGGCAAAGTCTTACAGTTTGCAAGCAGCCACAGCCTGGTTAGAAAAGCCTGTCTCCTGTCGCCAGGCTGTAGAGAAGGACCCTTGCTCTCTGTGTGGAAGCAGCGGTCTCTTTGCAGAGGTCTGACACCCTCCCTGCTGAGTCAAAGTGAGAGTTTTCTAATCAGCAGGAAGCATGTGCCTTGTGTTGTGCTGATCACTTGCTTCATTACTATTCTAGAGGCAGGTCTGCATCATGGGGCAAACCTACTGCTGCACCAGGGCCCGGGGCTGGTGTGGGGGTGCCCACTGAGATCTGATCCCGCTCCCCCATTGGAGGAAGCGATGGTCCGATGGGCTTATAGCGATGTGTGCATCCGTCATAGTCTCCGCCCCATGAAGTGTTGGCAGTCGCGTTCCCCCCTGAGTGAGGTGGAAGTGGGAGGGTCTGGGGTGCTGTACAGCTCCTGCACTGCTCTGCTTCTCAGTTGGGATGATGGCAGTGCATTGGGACAGACTGGAGCCCTGGTGGAGGAGAAAGGGAGGCTTGGGGGTGACGATGGACTGATGGGCTTCTGATTGCAGGGGCTCGTACGATGGTCTGATGGCTGTCTGATGGGGGCAAGTTGGGGGGGGGCAATGGTCTGAAGACGGGCTACTGAGCGAGGGGGGTTGGAGTGGGATGGGCCCGAGAGAAAAAATCTTGCACCAGGGCACTTTGTTCCTTAGGTCCGCCACTGCTCATCAGGGGGTGTCTTGGACCTCTGCAGAGAGACCACTGCTTCTGCACAGAAAGCAAGGGTCCTTCTCTGCAGAATGTTGGCAGGACAGAAGCTTTTCTACTCTGCGGCTGCTTTCTAAATAATACGATCTGGAAGACTCTGCACACCTTTTATTTTGATGCATCTGGAATGTAATTAGCTGAACGTTCATTCCGGCTTTTAAGCTCATTTCCCAACCAAACTTGCAAACTTTTTCAGGAGATAATGGAGAAATGTTACTTTTGATCACGTTACCCACGCTGATCTATCAGACGATTTTATGACAACACCTGCGCGGGCCTCTGAATTCGCACTTAGGAGATATTTCAGAAAATAAAGTCGGATGTGATTATTCCAGCAGTGCCCCCAGAGCATGGAAAGTGGCTCATTATAGTTACATCCTCGTGTGGAGGCAACAAGCTTCTCATAGCTCTGCAATAACAGTAGAAAAAAGGATGTTTAGAAACATGGAGATGAGGAGACGGTTTTTATGACAAATGGCTGCAAAGAAAACCCAAATGTTGTGCTGATTTAAATATTATGTGACTGCAGGATAAGTATTGTATATGGAGACATAGAAGCTTAGCTCCTATTATTCACATGTTCCCACGTGGTGCCTCCAGGTCAAGTCATTTTGTGTAGTGTAGTTTTTAGCTAGACTTGTGAATGTTATTTAGTTCAGATAATATTATTATAATAATAATAATACAGGAGTTATATTGTATAGCACCAACAGCTCCCAACTGTCCCTGATTCGGATGAACTGTCACTTTTTTGGAACAAAGTCCCACTGTCCCTCTTTACCTCCTCCCAGATGTCTCCCTTTTTGGTCTGATGTATAGACTTCTATAGCAAGGGGCAAGTGACCCAGGAGGTAATAACTGTGAGCAGGGGTGTCCTTAGCTTATTCACTGTCTGAGGTCAGGGGATGGGGGTGCTGGTGGTGCATGTTCAGGGGGGACGGCGATGGAGGGGCGCTGGTGGTGCATGCTAACGTGGGAGGGGATCATCTCACCGTCCAGTTGTGGCCGCCATTCCGCCTAGCTCACTGACATCACTGGTTGCCAGGAGCAGGGCAGGACGCCAGTCATAGTGTCCTAGGTTGCTAAGAGCTGGACGGGGAGATGTGTATGGTCCTCACACATCTTTCTGCTTGGCTCTTAGCAACCTAGGACGCTGGAAAGGGGGCGGTCTGCCTGCCGCCCCCCTCATGAGACCCAAAGAAATGCAGCTGAGGCAATAGCCTCAGGCTGCTTTATTATAGGGATGGCCCGTATTGTGAGGGACAAGCTGATGGAGGAAGTAGAAGTTCAGTTGTTGGAAAGAGATGTGATAGGCTTCCCTGAGATAACAGTTTTTAGGGATTGTCTAAAGGTGGACAGAGTAGGAGATAGCCAGACAGATTGTGGAAGGGAGTTCCAGAGAATGGAAGAGACCCTGGGGAAGTCCTGGATGTGAGCATGGGAGAAGGTGATGAGGGGGCTAGAGAGCAGGTGGTCTCGGGGAGGAGCAAAGAGGACGGTTTGGGTGATATTTTGAGATGAGCTTAAAGATGGGGGCAGAGTTGTACTTGGCTTGGTATGTTATTGTCAATATATTAAAAATGTTTTCTATTGGGCTAGCGGAAGCCAGTGGAAGGATTGGCAGAGAGGGGCCAGTGGCCACTGAGCGGTTGGTGAGGTGGATGAGTCTAGCAGACATTGGGAACATTGGCTGTTCTCATATTTACTAGCAGAGTTGTTTTGGAAATAAAGGTTTAAACCAGGGGTGGCCAAACTCCGGCCTTCCAGCTGTGGTGGAACTTCATGTCCCATGAGGCTTTGCATGATACTCATGACTCCCAGAGGCAAATGCAAGAGGGGATTCGTAGTTTCACCACAGCTGGAGGGGCGGAGTTTGCCCAACACTGGTTTGAACCATATCAGTACAGTAAAAGCTGACCATTGTACGTACCCCGGCTTTGGTATATGAAGTGTTTTAGATTAACCAGTTATTCACTATATTAAAGCTAAACTCCCTGATATGCTTTTCTCTCTTGGAATTATAGACTGAAAGGAGGGACAGAATAGTGTCACCTGTCTCCACTCCTAGCCTGCTGATTGGGTAGTGAGAGAGCAGCAGGAGACTGACAAATTTACCATTCTGCTCACTCTGCTCTCTCTTATCAACATGCTCCTTGTTACTTGATTAGCTACCAGTCCTGTGCTTCCCTCTTCCAGTCTGGGTTCTACTTTATAGGGAATTGCAAGAGGCTGATACCAAGTCAAATTCAGGTACCTACATTGCTTGCATTAAAAATGTAATGATGTATCAATGTATACCCCCCCCTCCCTCC